ACAATGTGAAGACCACGATTCAAGACGAGGAGGGAGGTCATTTGTCTGACGCCGAGCCAGCCGCTCTGAGTGACCGGCTCAACCAAGATGAAGATAAAACGTGGCTTGCTCTCCGCCGTAGCTCCAGCCGCCGCCGTGGTTACTAATGCTGATTCCAGGTATGGCATTTTCTTTCCTGTCTTCCTTCAGTCTCCCTTTTCTCTTCAGTCTTCCTTTATGCGAGTGTGTGAATCCAGTTTAGTTTGGTAGGCGTCTGATCATGGTGAGCCACGGCTTACCCAGCTAACGTGGGACAATGTGTGTGACAACGCCCCTTATAGTTATAGTGTATTCAGTTCGGTTTTTGAACTGCGATGTTCCTGGCGGGTTGTGCCAGCGTTGTGCAGCAAGAGTGCTGTAGTTTTTCAGGTCCTATTTGGAGGACAGTTCTTTCCCCTTTTTACCCCGAGAGATCGTGTGTACCTGGTGTGCTTCTACTTTATGATTTGTTATCGGTTCATTTCTTCTGTCTACTCTAAACGTTATCATTTCCGATATAATTTGCCATCTTCCGGTTGACGCTGTGTTCATAACTCTTCACTAATTTTTGAAAATACGAGGGCGTGATTATCTGTAGGAAGGGAGGGTGTAGTATCCCTGCCCGACCAATACGGAAGTAGTACGGAACTAAAACGGAGCTTTGCCTGATTTATAGTTAGTGTATCTCCGTATGTAAGCGTACGGCGTCTGCTGCATAAAAGCTGCTGCGCATTTCTGTTAAGATGAGATTTTGATAATAACGAGCTATTCAACCTCCAGGTGTGCACCGGAGAGGAAGTCAGTTATTTTGCCGTTTCTTCTTTCACTAATAATTAAATCTCAGGTGTGTACCTGAAAGAAGTAGAATAAAAGTAATTCTTGTTGATTTCACCGCGCCTACCACTCGGCTACCCATTACACTGTCAGAAACTCGTCCTTGCTACAGCCCCGGAGTCCACCAGTGCTACAGTAACGTATGCCACGTGTGAGGAATGTGTGACTGGCGTCGATGGAGGCCTCTGCTCTCATGTGTTTGCCCTCTTGATGGTGCTGGAAAAGTACCGCTGCACTGAGGAGGCAAGGTCCGTCACGTCATTGCCATGCAGCTGGGGTCCCAGACAACGAGACATTGAACCCAAGCCCATCATGGACACTGTTGTTGAGAGGGCGTCCATGGAGAGGAAGGACCCACCTGTCAAATGTTCCCTCTACGAGAGCAGGGAGCCAGAGCTGCGGACACCGTCAGTAGAGAATGTCAGCCGCTTTCGTGACTTGCTACCTGATGGTTGTGGCATGAAGCAGCTGTTGCCACGGCAGTTTTCTACTGTGACAAGCTTGTAGGTGCAGTGTGTGTAGTTAAGAGTGAAGACACCTTAACCGTCCAGTTCACTCGCAAACAGTACTACAGCCGTAGCGTGCAGGGGCTTGAGGAGCTTGTCCTAGTACCCTCCATAGCTTGACTCGGGAGAATAAAGTTGAAGACACCACTGCAGCTGTACTTATGGTTGACAAAAATGGTGGTAAAGACACACCTGGCAATATGGCGGTAAACACACGCCTGCCCACACACGCTCTCTAGGCTGCAAAGTTCTGGCACAGAGCTCTCCTTCTCACCACCACCACCATCAGTTCGCGCCTGGCGCCTGGTCGATGCATGGCTGGCGGTATCCGGCATAGCAGGCTGGTACATCAAGTAGCGCATGGCACATAGATGATGACACAGCAACGACATAGCTCGATTGCGACGTACGTTTCGTCCCCGCTGGACTCATCAGGCAATCTTCTTCTTGGATGTCTTCATACGGAGCTTGACTCGGGAGAATAAAGTTGAAGACACCACTGCAGCTGAAACGTACGTCGCAATCGAGCTATGTCGTTGCTGTGTCATCATCTATGTGCCATGCGCTACTTGATGTACCAGCCTGCTATGCCGGATACCGCCAGCCATGCATCGACCAGGCGCCAGGCGCGAACTGATGGTGGTGGTGGTGAGAAGGAGAGCTCTGTGCCAGAACTTTGCAGCCTAGAGAGCGTGTGTGGGCAGGCGTGTGTTTACCGCCATATTGCCAGGTGTGTCTTTACCACCATTTTTGTCAACCCTCCATAGCACTGACTAAATCATAATTATAGGAAGGGCTTTGAGGGCTGATCAGAGTGTAGCGTACCGCATAGCGGCAACGGTTATTATCTAACCGAATGAGACCTTTGGATAGAAGATTGGACTTGAAACCCGTAATGCTACAGGCATTCCTTCGTATGTCGAACCGCATATTCTGCCGCATGCTCCGACCGCTAACCGATCATAAACCCGGGTAGGTGACCGGCTTCACATTTGTACATTTATACCCGGGTATATGACCGGCCTCCTATACCCAGGTAATTCACTGGCTTCACATACCCGGGTGATAAGCTTCCAAAGTCATACAAACACATCTGACCGTGGCAATGATGAATTTACCTGGCCAGTGACTGCTAACTTCAGCCTTTCTGCAGCAACACACACACACACACACACACGCGCGCGCGCGCGCAAACGCGCAAGCTCACGTTAACGCCGAGACCATAGGTCGGTGTTGTGGGCTTGCCTCCCCATCACAGGCTTGCTTTGCAGCCCCTACTCTCCCTGCTGTTTTGTTATTGTGTACTCTGTTGTCTTCTCCCCTTCTGACGAGTAGGTTGTGTACTTAGTAAAGTAAAGTAAAGTTTGCACGTCCGCGTTCTTAGTAAAAAGAAACTAAAACACACACACACCTGACATACAGTGGAAACATGATCGTATCACCAGTTCCTTGGGAACAAAACGAATAAACACACACGCGCTCGCACACACACACACACACACACACACACGCACACACACACACGCACACACACACACACACACACACACACACACACACACATGCACGGCATGAGGTGTACATGATCCCATTACCATTCCGTTGGGAACACAACGAACACAATTGCATATTCTTAGCTGCAATTGTGATCACCCTGACCTGCATATACGCTGAACGCATGAAATGCCTACTTGTAGTCGAGGTGACGATAGAGAAGAACAAGAGAAGTGACACTTCACGTGTGTGTGATGCCTTTTCCTGTGGCTCCTCGGTATAGCGTGTTTCCGACCAACGGATGCGGAATGCTATCAATTTTTGAAGCCGGTAATGGTGAAGAAATCCAACACTTCACACAGCACGGTCCCGTGAATCACATGTTGATTGCACTAGTAGTCGTACTGTAATGCACTACTGTAAAACCTGTGACTAACGACCACCCCTTGGTCTTGGTCTTGGTCTTTAGTGGCAGGTGGTCCTTAGTTAGAGGTTTGCACCGCACAACCATGGATATGAGACCGTCCGTGCCTGGCGAAATGGTCTTTAGTACCAGGCTGGTCGCCAATCACGGTGGTCTTTAGTACCAGGCTGGTCGCCAATCACGGTGGTCTTTAGTTACAGGTTTTACTGCAGTTGAACGTGGCATACATGTAGGTGGACATGCACGCAGTCTGATACTGGACATGGGCCTGGAAGCGGCACAGTTCGGTATGAAGGGGTCGGATTTCTAAGATCCAGACTGCCCTAGGATCAGTGTTGTGTGTGCAACAACTACAAGTATGTTGCGAAGGTAGTAATATCGGGACTTTCTATTCTAGAAGTACAATGTAGCCTTGTAGGTCAAGAATCAAGATCAGCTTCTGTGATCGTTGGGACACAATGACCGGCGCATCCGCTGCAGGCAATGACATTACCCGGCCTGGCCATTTGCGACGTGCGCAATTTCGAGTGTAAGTGACTCATTGCAGGTGCAGATGATGGGTGCTAGTAGGGCAGACCCCAAAGTCAATCTGTTGCCCGCCCATATTTGCCTTCTTGCCGCACCTCAGCACAGCGCTCTCGTCCACTGGGTCTGCGCTGTGGAAGTAAATACTGTACAACACACGGGGAAAGGGATCCAAGCTACCTGAGCCCATCAGACACCCCTGTGGAAACGGTAACGGTACATTATGCTCTGGCTGTTCTCTGCGTGTTGCCATACATGTACATTGTACATGTACATGTATGGCATCACGCACATACCGTGTAGTGCACGCACACACACACACACACACACACACACACACGCACACACACACACACATACACACACACACACATACATACGCGCGCGCACGCCGGCATGTGCATCTACATGCGAGCTCCCAGCACGGAGTGCAAGCTGCCAAAGGGGCCAAAGGGGCATTGGGTGCACGTCAACATGAGCAGAAGGGCTTCGAGCCAAGAAATTATTAAAATAAATGGAAACAAGGAAAACGGTGGGGCACAAGTTATGCGTTAGAGTCCACCAACTAAACCAGGTTTTGAACAGTCAGACGTGCACAAGGTAGAACCACACTGACAATGAGTACTGTACTGAGACATTCCACGGCAAGTTGGAATTATCACTAATATGATGAGTAATATCCATGAACCTTCCAAGGCGGGAGGCCGTTGGTTAGCGCTGTCGAGCAGTGCTCATGCTCACTTCCTTGCCGTGGAATGTCTCAGTACTCCTTGTCAGTGTGGCGCTACCTTGTACATGTTAGACTGTTCAAAACCTAGTTTAGTTCGTGGACTCGATCGCATAACTTGTGCCCCGCCGTTTTCCTTGTTTCCATTTAAGAAACACTTCAACTATTCATTCCTATTTTAGCCATATTCCGCGCCATTCACACAATCTTTCGGTCTATAATATTATTTTAGACTGTTACAAGGCTCTTTTACGGGCAAAAGAATAACACAATGCATTTAAAAGTGCAATACAAAACTGGAGAAGAAATCAGGGAAATGCATGATTTGATGGTTTCAAAGCCGTTCAAGTCACAGACTAACGAACATGAGTAAGACAACGCTGTGATGCTTGAATGCGTATTGATTGTGTAGTTACATGTACGCGTGTACAATCATTATCATGAGCTGGAACTACCGCAGCGCTAGTACAAGTCCACATCCTCCAGTTCAGTATCACCAGGATGACTCGGGCTGCTGCTGTGCACGGCCTTGCTTCGCGACGGGCGATCTCCAAAAACGAGATACGATCTCACCCCATGCCCTGGCTGCTACGTCTAGCTGTACGATAGGCTCTCAGTCGTACAATGCCGTCAATGGCGCGGCTGCTACGTCTAGCTGCCGACTGTACCGGCGGCATTCGCTGTGTCTTTTCGCTGGCACACGACACCTAACCTTGCACCTCCATGGTGCCCGCAACACGATCATGGTGTTCGATCCGTCCACCTCCTGTGGTCAAGAAAACAGCACTGATGGTGATATTCATAGGTACAGGACAACAGGTTTCACTTTTACTTTCAGTTTCCTATGAACTCTCTTGGCTGAAATTGTCTTTGCCCCTCGCTCTCGGGTCCAACACATAATCAGTCTATCCTCTGATCGGTCTGAAGTGTTCACGGGCGATATTCGGTAACACCTCCACGCATCGCGCTGCGGTGAGAACACCTAATTCTCCTGGTGGCTGTGACGGATTTACGACAATGGTGTTCATGACATCGAGGACGATGAGATCCGTGGCTGTGATTTTCATCTCGTCGTGGATGCCGTGTAGTTTGGCCGTGATCGGCTCCATGCCGGGCTTTGACCGAGTGGAGCAGGCACAGGGATCTACCGTTAGTGCCGTTGGAAATCCACACAGCAATGGTAAGTCAGGCACGCGAATCTCGTTTACATGGAAATGTGCTTCAGTCGGAATGGAAAAATTAATTCAGCGAATCGGTGCTGTCAGGCTGACACCCGATGGCCGTGCTGGGAGTTTCAGTATCGCATTCCCATTGGTCTGCGTCGCTAGCTGTGGACTGTGGGTTCATGAGCATGTTCTAGCGTGTACCAGACGCCCTGAAACCTTGTTGTTCCAAATATTACCTTGCATTCCATGTACATTGGACGTTGCAGGTCACTTGTTCTGGAGCCTGCGATCGCCTTACCATGATTGTGTCGTGCACGCTGCAGTCATTGTCTACATAATGACACCCCTATTGAACATCTTGTACCTTGAGTGGCACGTCAAAAGCCTGAATCAGGAGAGGCATAATTCTAATCTAACTAACTTCTAAGACATCCTCGCTCGCCAAGTCGCGGGGTGCATCTCAACTTGTGTGTTGCAGGTTGAGCGCTAACAATATTGGAAAGATATCATCACTTGTATTATCTATTCCATGGCTAGATTTGTGGTCAGGGGGAGAACAAGTATGAGAAGTAACACGAAGATATCCATGCTTACTGGGGCCGTTATTGGGCAAGGCGGCGTCACTGTCACTCCTAAACGTATCGCTTCAGGGATACAGTACAATGACTGTATTCCATCATCGTAGACATACAATCATGTACATGTATATGTAGATAGTAATAGGATTACGCTGTCGAATTGGTAAGGGAAAGTCGTGGCAGACAAAATTTTACTGTGGTATGCCTAACGTCTTTCGATGAAAGAATAACTGAGAAATTGCTACCGGTCATAGTAAGAGTATCGATAACGCTACCGAGTTGCCGACACTTCATCCTCCTTCCTGGAAGGATATCCACATAGTATGTCATGCAGCCAAATAAACTACAGGAAGAAATTGAAGAGATGGGATTGCGTTGCTGGCTAATGAGTGTACGGTGGTACGTCCGCTGGCCCCCGGTCGCCAGACAAGCATTCTTTGTCAGAAGATGTCAGTTGTTTTGATGATTGGCTTGTGGCATGACAGTCGCAGTTACAACGGAAAGAACGTCCTCAGCTTAGTCTGCTATGTTCTCAGCTCTATCTATGACATTCAGCATTCTACACGACTAGGGGTTCGACGGATTCACGTCAGAAGACGTGACGATAGGTATACTGTAATAATTATTAAGAATGAAGCCGGTACTGGTTGGTCGTTGTTTCTATTTCAAAGTTAACTAGTGAACTAAGGGTGTGGCTGAAGGCTCACGTTGCGCTTTCGCCACTGACGCAGAGGTACTGTCACGTTTCAGATGAGTTCTATATGCAAAGTCTCCGTTTTCTTGAGAAGTTCGCCTCCCGAAACGAAGCCAGCCATCGAATCCCAAATTGACTTCCTGGGATGTGAAGGTGTAGCATGTACATCACAATGCCCATGCATACATGTACAGATGTAAATGCACGCCGTTGTGCTTTCACAGCCACACCTAGGCCAAGCCTTCGCAGTCATTGTATTGGGTCGTCATCCCGTTTGAATGTAAACAAATAATAATAAAAAGGAAAAGTTAGCCGGATTCGCGGCCGCATCACCTGACGTGTTTGGGAACACATCAAGCAAACACATTCGCATCGGCGGGCCACCAATTCGCCCATATATCCTCAGTGTCAAATTTGCCTGCTAAAAATCGAAACCGATCAACCGACCATTTTACTCTGAATGGTCTATGTCGGGAAAACAGCTACACCATAGTTAAGTGGTTGGAGAGACTGGTTTCATTCCACGAAGAGTAGCGATTTCATAGAGCACTGTATTACATATATTACTACCACCCCGCATCATTCTATTTCCTATTTTTATTTTTCTTCTCAGCTTCTTCTTCAAAAGCTGTTGACGGAGACTCCCTCGATTTAGGCTAAGGCCTGTGGAGAACCCATAAATACAAATACAAAATTGAGAGGATCGCTGGCCTCAAGCGAAGGTCTCCTGGTTAGATTCCTGGTGGTGACAGTCAATTTCTTCTTCAGACGTGTTACGTTATGTAATGTTGCCTTTATTGTATTTCAACATAGGCACAGGCATTGCTGCCTTCTTGCTGTGGATCATGGATGATCCCACAGCTTCTTGGCGATGATGAAAAATACAGTAGATTAGTATGATCAAAATAGGAACAGTATGGGAAATACGATGTCATGACTATAAGCAGACACAGAATAATTATATTGAGAGGCTTTGAATCGTTTTTATCAAAATCTAAAGATTTGGCGGGTTGGAAGGTGGGAAACAAAAACAAAAACAAAAAAGTCACAGTATTAATACCTTCTCCTGTTGACATCTTTCCCTCAAACCAATAAAAACTTGTTTTTTCTCTGCTGCATGTCGTCTTGTTCCTGCAGCGTCCTGCATGGCCAAATGGCTGCAGGTGTTCGACCCGCGCGTGTCGCAGGGTCGCATCCAGGACATCGAGCAGTTCCTGGCCACGTACATGGGCGAAACGGTGGACGAGATGCACGCCAGCACCACGAATCTAGGTACAATCGCACTGATCCTGGGAGGCGACAACAGGGCACAGCTGTTTCTACAGTGCATTCGTAAGACACTAAGACCATTATTTTTTGTAAGACGCAATACCATTTATTTATTTATTTATTTTTTAAAGAGAACACAAACATACAAATCATGTTGAAAGACAAAAAGTACATTGGACTGGGCAGGCGCTATCCACAATGCCAGTTAAGTAGCTGCGCTGATGAAATACATGGACTTTGTCGACCATGGGTCTCGGCGTCACTGTGCCATGTATGCATCAAAAATAATCATACGTTTATAATGAGCCAACATAAGAAAGTGACTGAAGACAGAAAAAGAAACATTACTAGCAATTGTAGGTTAGACGCGACTGGAGAGCCAAGGATAGAAACTTAGCTAAACATCGGGTCGTTGAATGTCATTATCCCATCAGTCAGTGTTGTGCTGGTCGTTGCGCGTTCTGACTCCCCAGCATCATGCTTCTACTTAGACTTTCATGTTAGCCCTTGGTCTAATACGACAAACACTCGAGAGTCATGCACTGATAATTATAACTGTGTACATATACTTCATTTAAAATGAAGATATGCTTTACCGTCATCGAAAATTGACCTTTCAATCATCACCATGCATCTGCCACCACCTTCCGTTTGACACGTCCAATAAGGGGCGCGTTCGGACTGGCGTGAATAGCCGCCGGAAAGCTGCAGCGTAATCCCGGGAATCGCAATCACACTGCACGTGTATCCCGCTGGAATGGCCAGTACATGATTGTGAAGCTTCGACATTTGAAAAATTTGAGTTGACTCAGTTTGAGTTGGATATCAAAATAAACTAATTCAGTCTGTTGAGATACTGGATCATTGTGCTTTTGCTTGTGCCTGTCGACGGAAAGAATACAGGTCGTCCCTCGTTAATACATAATCTCTGGGACTTGACAAATGTTATGTATTAACGGGGTTTATGTACTAAACGAAAGTGTACATAACTTGCTTGTATACCAGAATTTTTCACTTTTTTCAACTTTTCTGAGTGTTTCTTGCTACCATGACTAGGCAGCGAGATATTCTTGATTCCCTCGATATAACATAAAAATTATGTTATAACGGTCACATTTAGCGAAGATTCTACAGTTGACATGGTACATGCCCAGCCGCACCTGTACAGTCACTCGGAAAAAAACAGAGCTTTGTCGGTTTGTGATGTGCGCTCTGATTTCTATGCTAATTGCATCCACAAGTAGAAACTAGAACACGATGTGCCTCCACTGGAAGGCCAAAAGACCAGTAAATTATGTACTATTGAGGTAGGTGACATGCGGGTATGGAGAAATGTTATGTACTAACGGGGTTTATGTACTAACGGATTATGTACTAACCGACAAAATTTGTATGGAAGTGACCACGTTTCGTCCGGGACTTGAGATTTCTTATGTACTAACGGGGTTTATGTACTAACTGGACTCGTATTAACGGGGGACGACCTGTACTATGTCCGGAGTGTTTGGTGCTTGGGTGGCATTCATCCGCTCCGCGATCAGAGTATGACTTCTCGTTCGCAGTAAGCGTTTTGCCTGCAGAACGGCCCGCAAAAATCACCACGTACAGCTCCATGAACTCCCTCTCCATTGCTGAGTCGAACAAAGATTTCGGCATGATGGGAGAAGTTGGCAGTCTAGAAGTCAAAACTCAAAACTCAAAAGCATGCAGTCTAGGCGTTGGCGGATAATGCTCGAAAAGGTGGCAGATTCTGCTTTTTTTGCACCGAAATTGGCAGAACCATACAAACCTTATGGCGGGCAATTCCTCGAATTCTGCTCCATTTCTTTATCCAAATACCAAACATGCATGAAACTTACCAAAAAAAGTACCGAATTCTGCCAATTTTTCTGCCGGCATTATCCGCCAAGCCCTAATGCAGTCAGACTGCAAGAGTAGAGGCAGAAATAAAACGAAAAGACGGAACATGTGCTGCAAGGATATCAAAAGCGCTCCGCGTACCGCCGGAATCTGCATTCCACTGGCCTGCAGAGTGGTGAGAAACCTTTTCCGTGTTTACGCTGGCGGGAACATCACGTGAGCGATTCACCTTGACAACTTTCACATTCCGCTTGTTTTTTACGCCAGTCTGAACGCGTCCTTAGTAAGCGGTTTAATTGGCTCATTGTTGTACTGATCTGCACGCACTCAAACGGTGACAGGTGCCACTAATATCTCGTTGTGACCAATAGAAATGTACCTCTGAACGTCATTGAAAAGTATCCTACTTATCAAGGCTAACATGTGTACTTCACTAATTGCGTGTACATTAATTTGTCCTTTTCGGCGAAAAGACTGCCTCGCTGTCGATGTCAATGCACCTCTGTACAATGTACACGAGTACGCGTTGCTGTTGTTGATTTTAGTCATTTTATTAAATAATTTCACTCAACTCGTGGTCCATGACCAATTGGCACACAAATTGCGAGAGCGGGGTGATAGCCAACCACGGCATGCATGACAAGAAATTTTGTTTTTGAATTCGCTGGCCGGAACGGACAAGTGTATCCACTAATTATTATTGCACTCATCGATGCTAACAAAAGTATTTGCGTGTACATTTGCTCCTGTTCAGAGAAAAGACTGCCTCGTTGTGCCCAGAACGCACCCTGCCATTACGATGGGCAATGCGTTCACAAGCCCAACGGTGTCGGAACGTATCGCTGCAGCTGTCAGGAAGGCTACAGTGGCACGTTTTGCGAAAGTGAGTAGATTGACTTTTTTTGTTTTTCTTTTGTTTCAGTAGATAATTATTGACCTTTAGCGTTACGTCTCGGAACAGAAACTCCACAAAGGCAGAACAACAGAGACCGAAAATCGTTCTCGTAACTCGGAGTTTCGTGTTCATAAACACTCATCAGACGATAAAACATAATGATGTTATTGGCTATAGCTATATAGGGTAATTGTAGAGTAGGCTAAGGAACAGACACTCTATCAATTTAGGCTAAGAGCTGTCCATAACCGCCAAATTACCTCTAGATGTAATGGCAATTTGCTCTTTTTTCAAGACTTTTTTCCCGGCAAAAATTGACACAATAGATTAAAATGCAACACAACCCTGGAGAAGAAATCAGGAAAATGCATGTGTAAAATAAAGATTTTAAAACGCAAACCAAAAAGGAGATGTGCTGAGTACGCCACGCGTGATAATTGTACACATGTGCGATACATTTTCTACTTTTCTTGTCTCTTGTCGATAACCAATGACTGTACCAGTTTCACTGTTCGTGATATACGCTCTTAAAATACACATGAATCTCAGCCTTCGATAAGAATGACACCTCAACGAGTGTCGATTTAGTGCCTTTGGTACTGCATCAAAATGCATTGTGTTTCCAGCGGTGATTCAAGTAACGTTATAAAGCTCTATGAATGTTGACTGTACAGACCTTTCTGGGGTCACTGCCTGGTTGATGGCAGCATGAAATTTTTATTTTGCGGAGTTCGACGAATGCGTGCGTTTTGGTTTCTTCCGTATGTGTGTGTGTGTGTGTGTGTGTGTGTGTGTGTGTGTGTGTGTGTGTGTGTGTGTGTGTGTGTGTGTGTGTATGTCTGTGCGCATGTTTTCACTTGCATTTGTGTTTTTGTGTGTGTGTGTGTGTGTTTGTGTGTGTGTGTGTGTGTGTGTGTGTGTGTGTGTGTGTGTGTGTTTGGGGGTAAACATCTGTCCCTATCTTCATCCGTAGAACCTCAGGGATGTGCTGGTAATCCTTGCCTGAACGGAGCTACTTGCATCCAGAAGACAATAGCGGAGTATGTCTGTGTGTGCCCATCATTCTACGAGGGAGCTCACTGCGAAACACGTAAGAAGAAGATCATGATGGTACAGTGGGAAGGGTAGCGTCACGTGTCATGACATTGGCTGTTTAAATATTTGACTGGACAGTAACTCCCCCCCCCCCCCCCCCACACACACATACACACACACATACACATGCATACACCATCCTCGGTTTAGCAGTTGATATTTCAGTAGCATATCAAGGCGATGAGATGCACAGTAAGGGGACTAACTCAACGAGTGGAACTATGGCTCCCCACAATGGAAAGAACATTGTCGTTCCTTTCTTACAAATACCCGACGAGGAGATAACAACAATGAATAAGACATTTTTTAACTTGTGCGCTCATAAGATCATCAAAAAACATACTTACGAAGACAGTCTTTCCTTTCTTATCATAGGCTCTGACAGTGAATAGTGTGAAATGCCTAAGAGAACAATAATTAGAGTTTTACCAGCTGAGACAAGACAGCAACAATACTAATCAGACAGTACACTTCAGGGTCTTAGTCAGCATCTTTTGAGTATTCACGAGTCTACTTTCAAACCTCCTGAAAGAGCCTGACGTGTGTTGTTCTCCTTAGTACAATTATAGCTCTCAAAACAATCATCCAAGTGATGTTCACCGATTTGGTGTTTGTTCTCCCCTGTCCAGAGTGGTTCAGCCATGCTGTACTGGATCGCCTGTGGAAGGGTATCAGAGAGCTGACTGCCTCGCTGCGCCAGCAGTCGCAGGTCCACGAGAGCTCTCGCGGTGCCCTGGTCCGCATCAACGGCGACGTGAATAGTCTGCGTGGAAGCCTCGTGTCCAAGGTCGAGAACGTGCAGAAAGAGTTTCGAGAGACCAAGGATGGTCTACTTTACAGGATTTCGGGTCTGGCCAGCTCTCAACGTGTGGTATGTACTAGTAGCACCCGTAACTAAAGACCACCGTGACTAGCGACCAGCCTGGTACTACAGACCACCGTGACTAGCGACCAGCCTGGTACTACAGGCCACTTCGCCAGGCACGGACGGTCTCACATTCATTATACTGTAATTATGGTCGTGCGGTGCACACCTCTAACTAAGGATCACCTGCCACTAAAGACCGCTTTCACTGTCCCCAAGAGGTGGTCGTTAGTTGCAGGTTTTACTGTAGTGTAGTAGCAGACAGCATACCTTCCAAACTTTGCAAACCTGAGATCGGGACAATGACATACATAAGTATTGAAAATGTGTACTTGTACAAATGTAGCTGTAACATACAAGTTGTAAGGCATGCCACAAATGCACTTTTGGGTACCTATTATCACCCTCGGTCTGGGGACTAGGCATATGCGGATAATGCCGGCAGGAAATCTGGCAGAATTCGGTACTTTTTCTGGTACGTTTCATGCATGTTTGGTATGTGGATAAAGAAATGGAGCAGAATTCGAGGAATTGCCTGCCATAAGGTTTGCATGGGTTCTGCTAATTTCACTGCTTTTCGAGCAGAATCTGCCACTTTTTCGAGCATTATCCGCCAATGCCTAATGGGGACGGTCCCGGCCAAATCTACACGGTTGGCAGGTATGTAGACAGATACCATTGTCTCCGACCCCATTAGGCATTGGCGGATAATGCTCGAAAAGGTGGCAGATTCTGCTCGAAAAGCAGTGAAATTGGCAGATCCATACAAACCTTATGCCGGGCAATTCCTCGAATTCTGCTCCATTCCTTTATCCACCCAAACATGCATGAAACTTACCAGGTACCGAATTCTGCAAATTTTTCTGCCGGCTTTATCCGCATATGCCTAGTACTCAGTCCCAATTGTGCTTTAGCTTGGTTCGAATTACCATCAGGATCGATCTCACCGTTTGGTGAATGTATTGCAAAAATCGATGATGACGCGGTCATTCTGGAATGCTCTGGAAAATCTTGATAGATACTGGAACTCCATAGCACTTGCAGATTGGATTTTAGGTTCACATCTTCTGCCCGAAGCTGACGGCTGGATAGTTGGATTCCACTGTAACCTTGGCAACACAACCCATCCCATATCTTACGCATATCTTACATTACTTTTGCAGTGGGCAACCTCATGATCCAAATAGAAGTGCATGGGTATGTATCTGTGTTACCTTGATCATGATTCGACAATCCTGTTTTGTTCTTCTTTGGTGTTCCTCTTGTAGCTAGAGTACGTCAATCGCCTGCAGAACAAGGTGGATGGATTTCAAGGTAGAGACTTTGAGATGTATGGCCAGTTGTCCAAATTGCACTAGTGATTTGAGTCATCAGCAACTGATTGTCAGCTGGCAATGATGATGCATTTACGTGCGGTCTACAAGCGTTTACGCGAATGCTTGGTGAAATTCCGGCCTTTGTACTGTATGTTGATGTGGCATTTACGGTTAGCGGCCGTCGTGAGTTCCTTTCGGAAACGGACGGGATAAGTTTACTTTTTTTAATGTTGCATTTAATAATCGAGTAAAGATTCTTTCTCCGCTCGCACTGTACAGGCTGTTACAGGATCGACCATAGTCGTGGCGTGGGCTCATCTCGTGTCTACACGGTGCGTAGCAAGCCACTGTTCGATGCCTACTGCGACATGGCCACAAGTGACGGCGGCGGCTGGACGGTGATTCAGAGACGCAAGGGCGGCGCGCTTAACTTCAGTCGCTCCTGGGAAGAGTACAAACATGGCTTCGGCGAGCTGCTGGGAGATTTCTGGCTGGGCAACGATAAGATCCATCGGCTGACGACCGGACAGGAGGTTGACCTTCGCATGGAGGTACACGGCCAGCTGGAGCACAAGGGCAGCGTGGAAAAACATCACCTGACCTTTTCGGGCTTCCGCATGGCTGGCGAAGAGGACAACTATCGCCTGCACATCGGCCCATACCTGACGGGCACCATCCGGCACAGCGGCATCGACGCTCTGATGGCGTACCACAACAACTCCCAGTTCAGCACGTACGATCGTGATCACGACCTCAGCAGCAAGAACTGCGCCGCCGTGTTCCGCGGCGGCTGGTGGTACAACGCCTGCAAGCGCTTCGACCTGAACGAGGAGAACATCAACGTGAAATTGCTGACGTTGTACGCGCATCGCAAAGATTACAATCAGTTCGATCACGCCGTGGGCGATGTCGTGTTCGCCGAGATGAAAATACGACCGCAGCAGAAATGATCATCATGCGCACGTACCGGAGTACAACGTTCATGCGTTGTCTTCCGGGAGGACATAGCCTGGCAGTATTGGATAACACGTATACCTGGACATTGCCTTTCCAGGCTTGGACGATTGCACTCGTGATTGGAGCTTACTCGAACCGAAAATAATGGTAGCACCATCCATTCCATGCCAAACGTGGCATCTTCGTTAGAAGCACAACCACCCACAAACTGTTTGATCTGCAACTTCAAATAACCCAACTCAATACCATAGCCAATAAGCTAATCCAAACAGTTCAATACATTATTATATGCATGGGTAATTGTAGGTATTGTGCCCATTTCATATTGCCTTCTAATCATATTATTATATTCAGTAGTTCTACAACTGACGAAAACGGCAGCATACATTTCTACCGCCCACTCCACAACAGTGAACCTACAGTAAAACTTAATAAAAAAGGACGAATGAGCTACAAGTTAAAAGCTATACCGTCCACTAACACCACCAGTTACTAAACAATCAGCTCATGCAATAACAGTGTCGTGCAATGGTATCGCATGAGCTGATTCAGCCTGATTGTTTAGTAACTGGTGGTGTGGACATTTTAGAGTAACTTGTAGTTCCTTGGTCCTTTTTTTCTTCTATAAATTAATCCTTGGCTCTCCATCCGAGTCCATTTAAGCAATAATAGTTTTAAAATGTTTCGAAGCTGGGGAAATTATGTTGTAAAGTGAGCGGCTCGTGGCGCTCCTACTTTTTTTCTCGAACCTACATGTGCCTTGCTTGCCATTTGAACGTACATGCATGTATTGAACTTATGGCGCGCAAGTGGGTCGATAAGATGAAAAACGGAGGCATTTTTTTCTCAGATAGGTAGTTGACACTCTGCAGCTACTCCACAAACAGCTCAAGATCATACTGACGTGATCCGCTGATTTGGAATGCTCAGCACAGCTACAGTGTTTGCTCCACAACGTTTACGGTATCTGAATAATTATATGTAGTTCCAAACGAAAGATGTTGCGACATCGGCGGCGATTAGTGAAGAAAGTGTCGGGGCATACTTCAAGAAGTACATGCGAGTGAGCGTTAATATTTACGCGAATGATTTTCACGAAAATTCCAGACGACCGCTCTCAATGACCATGTGCCGAGCTGCAATCTTCACGGCTGTGGTTCTCATGAATTGTGGCGTGGCTGGCCGCGTGGCCCAACGGATAAGGCGCCTGACTACGAATCAGGAGATTCCAGGTTCGAATCCTGGCGTGGTCGCATCTTTTCTTTTTCTTTTCCTGGAAGTCACCAACCAATACTAGAGTGTGAAGGTGCTGAGGGATCGGGAGTCGGCAAACACGGTACATGTACAGTCATGTATTCAACAACTCCCTGCTGAGGGGTCGGATGCTCAGTTTTCTTTTTACGAGACGGTTCTCTTCCTGTGCTGTCCCATCCAGTACACTGTAGGTGTTGGCTTCTATCACGATGACAAGGACATTCAACTCCACTGGCGTTCCTTATTAGCCGCATAACGAATGTCAACTGTTCGTTCTACACTCATGGATAGCCACCGCACACTAGCGGCGCGCGGGATTAGTACGTGTACACGTGCTGTGGCGGTCGGAGGCTCCAAGGGGTGTACGTGTGTGGATAATGCTCGAAAAGGTGGCAGATAATGCTCGAAAAGGTGGCCGATTCTGCTCGAAAAGCAGTGAAATTTGCAGAACGATACAAACGTTATGGCGGGCAATTCCTCGAATTCTGCTCCATTTCTTTATCCACATACCAAACATGCATGAAACTTACCAGAAAAAGTACCGAATTCTGCCAATTTTTCTGCCGGCATTATCCGCATATGCTTAGGCTTCATACTATCAGTATCAAGAGTATTATAAACCCCTCAGGGAGATTATACTCTTCATACTATCCTAGAGGGAGGCCAGAGGCACAGTGCATTGCTGACAGTGTTTGTTCGTTGAGGGTGTGAGGAATGCACCTCACAAGCAAAAGAGTTTCTTTCCACTAGAATGCTAGGTGCACTGTATGTACATTCTGTTGGCTCAGCGAAGTGAACAATGTTAGTGGTGAATCCCTGCTGCGTCTCGGTGCAGCCCCTGCTCGGTAGTTGACACCGTTGTCCTAGTCTCAGTACAATTGTCTTTCTTTATTATTTTCGAGCTGGGAATGTGAACATACCGGTAGTAATAAAAAAAATCATCCTGCTGCAGCTTCAGACCTCAAAGAGAAGTGGTGAGCACTCACGCTCTTTCCCTGGGCACTGCAAATTCACAACTCAGCTCACTGCATCATTATCCTAATCAACGAAATGAATGAGCCCAAAGAAAAATGACTTCAAGAAGAATGCTCCATGTCGCTAAATGCATACGGTATTAGTATTGCAAGTATCCAGACTATAATAACCAAGAGTATACTAGTATATACTCTTGTTATTAGTAACTTATTACCCTTGCTAGTATTGGTCGTTGGATAGCAAAACAAATGTACCGGTAAAAAAGAAAAAAGAAAGAAAAAATATGCGACCACGCCAGGATTCGAACCTGGAATCTCCTGATTCGTAGTCAGGCGCCTTATCCGTTGGGCCACGCGGCCAGTCACACACTTTATCCCTCGGAGGTACATGTGCTTGTACATGTATGTTGAGAAGCAGGGGAAACGATTTTGGGTTGCCTCCTACCGGGAACATGTTTATACGGGGCCGTAGACTCGTAACATTGATGCGATCTGATCTGGATTTTAAAATGTGGTGCCTGTCTATTGTATCTATTCATGAGTGTAGAAAGCTAGATGATCATCAACTAATTATTATTATTAGTACTGTGCGGCTGAACAGGGAACACCTGGAGTTGGAGGTTCTCGTTTACTTGTTAGAAGAGGTTATCTGTCATGGATATAACATATTTACAGTAACATCAGTGACAATAGTTTCAAGGCTTATCGTGCTAGTTTACCATTGGAAAAAAGAAAAACTGACCACTTCACCATATGGAAGAAGAAAAAAGATGCGACCACGCCAGGATTCGAACCTGGAATCTCCTGATTCGTAGTCAGGCGCCTTATCCGTTGGGCCACGCGGCCTCGCACGTACGATGGCCCTCGGACGCACACCATGATGTGCATAATTGTACATGTACAATAATTATATGTGAAGAACCCAAGACCAGTTGAGAAGTATTAATTTTGCCCTGCCTTCCGTTGCTCACCACGGCATTCTCTTGTCTTACTCTCTTGGCTGCTGCTTGAACGGGGCAAAGAATTCGATACGGATAGTGATCAGGAGGGTAAAATATGATAGCATTCCAACTTTCGGCCTCTTCATATCGAATGAAATCAAAGAGAGAAATGTTCAATTGGATAGTCCACAACTACACAAGAGAGAGAGAGAGAGATTGGAAACTGTGTCCCAACTCTGAGTTTCACGTATTACTACGATCATCAGGCAACTAATAATAATAAATAATAATAAAACAGGTCGCGTAATGAAGCAGCATAACGATAGATGTGCAAAGTCATGATGCCTGGTCCGCTTCTGTCCTGGGTTCACTACCCCGTGCGTTGCAGCCGCGAGCAAAACCAGCTCAGGCTGAGAGTTCCCTCCATGATTGCTTGTCCAAAGCGCGCATTCTGAGCCCACTCAGATCAGTCATGGTCTTCAGTGGCATGTCTCTGGCAGCTGTGCTTGCCTTGACTGCCGTGGCCAGGTTCGATTTCGGGCGTCCACGCACACCGGTGACATCTCAACGGAAGTAGTTGTCCATTGCCTGCTGTGGCGGGGCATCTGAGGGCATCCTCAGAACATGACCCAACATCCGGAAACGGCGGACAGCAACGATGTGCGAAAGTGGCTGTGTGTGTGCTCTGGAATATAGGTCTTTGTTGGAGATGATGGCGGGATACCTAATTCCAAACAAGTTCCGTAGTTGACGTCTATGGAAGGCGTTCAGCTTCTCCAGTGCAGCATCTGTCAGTCCCCAGGTTTCGCAGTTGTATAACAGTGTTGGTAGGACGATGGCATTGTAGAGACGAAGCCTGGTTTCCTCGGATACAAGTTGACGTCGTATCCAGAGCGAATACATGCGGCCATACGATGTTGATGCTTGGTCCATTCGTCGGCTCAAGTCCTCCTCTTCCCCCAAGAGAGAGCCAAGTTGCTTCGATCTTCGCCATTCGGTGGTGGAGGCAGAGATGTGAAGCCACTCTGTTTTGCTGCTGTTAACGTTGAGTGACCAGTCACCCAGGCCGTCAGCTATCACGGGTAGGGAGTTGGCAAGCCATTGTCGCTCAGTCGAATAGAAGGAAATGTCATCGGCATATCCTGTTTCCTGTGGTATTGCTGCATCAGTGTCTGGCCGTGGTGGTAGTTTGCTTCGAGTCTCCCTCAGTGCTGCTTCCAGGTAGCAAACAAACAGAACCGGGCTCAGCCCATCACCCTGTGGTGTACCTAGCGTGCTAACAAACGCCTCCGCTGAAGTGGCACCCACTTTCACAGAGAGTGTTGTACCATACAGCAAATGGTGAATCAGGCAAGCCTCGTCAGGTCCGGTAATCTCTGACATAACAGCAAGGAGCTTTGTGCGGCTAATGGTGTCGAATGCTTTCGACATGTTGAAGCCAAGGACGTGGCAATCCCACACGAAGTGGGTGGCCTTAGCCGAAATCCAGCGCTGTGTCCACACCACATCGGCAGTGCCACGGCCAGGCCTGAAACCAGACGAAGTGGATCCAAGATAATGCGACACACGTGGTGTGATACGTTTGAGCACAACGAGTGAAATGACCTTGCGCAGGGTGTTCAGCAATACAATCGGTCTCAGGTTTGCAACTGGTCCCCGCGCCTTGTTAGGTTTTGGTAACGGTATCAATATGCCTGGACCAATAACACTACACAGGTGGTCGCCCCTGGTGATGCTGTTGTTGATCATGGTGGTGATGATCGGGGAGATGTACTCAGCACCGTATTTGAGGAGTTCTGCGCATACACCATCCGGCCCACATGCTTTCTGATTTCGCAGTCGCCTCAAAGCCGCCTCTACTTCTTCGGTGGAAACGGGCGTCTCCAGTGTGTGCGGAGCTGGCGGTGGCAGCAGGTCATCAGAAGTGTTGAACTGCCCCTGATAGTGATCACGTATGCGAGATGCCTTTTCCTCATCGCGCATGAGGATGTGACCATCAGCCGACTCGACGAAGAGCTGCTGCGGCTTGCCACGTTTGAGCTGGGAGGCTGCTATAAACATTTGCGCGGAGGTTGGAGCGCTCTCAACCGCCTCGGCAATTCTGTCCAGGTGAGAGTTGGCTTCGGTCCGTTGGATATTACGGATTTCATGCATGACATGATTGCGCTCCTTCTTCAGCTGCGCAGCATCATGGTGTCCTGACTCAGCTAATATTCGCAGTTCCCGTTGCCGCAGTGAAAGCCGAGCAACCTGTGCGTTTGGTTGAACGAAACGGTTCCTAGCCTCGGATCGGTGCAGATGACCAATGGCGGTGTCTGCTGCAGACTTGATCGCAGATGTGGCAGCTGACCAGACATCAGCGGGAGCATCACTTGCCGGAGTTACTTGAAGGTGTGCCCGAAG